CAAAATGGAATAAATCCTTGTCTTCATAATGTTTAGTTTTAACTGCACACCCTTCATCTCAGGCGAAGTTGCTAATGATGGAAAACCAAGTGTCTCAGGAAAGAACAAATCCAATTTGTGTTCTATAATGGCAGTCTCAATGACCTTAGTGATTTTGTTTTAAGAAGCTGCTTTCCACACTTTTCAATTTCTTCCCTTAAGAAAGCAATGGTCCTAAATAACTCAACTTCTGCCCATTACTTAAAGAAGCAAAGCATGGCATTCTAATTCTTTACTATTCATAGGAAATGATTTTATAAAACAAACAAAAAAAAAACCCAAAAACATGATCATGAGTTATTCAGGTTTCATAGAAAGAACAATAAAAATATAAATATAATTAAAACCAGTTCTAAGAGATGTATTTTTGTTTTCCTTCAGAACAGATTTAGATAAACATGAATATAATAGTAATATATCACACATAATTCTACATTTTAACAGAAACGATTTTGTATAAAAGCATTTTATAGAAAAAAAATGAGACTTTGTCAAGCATTTTCCAAATATAACTCATTTAATCATCACAACATTCTGTGAATGAGGCCCTCTTATCATTATCTCTTTACAGATAGGGAAACTAAGTCACAGCAAGGTTGAGTAATTGACTCCAAGTTACACAGCTACAAAGTGGAGTGGCAGTGATCCACCAACGCAGTACAGATCCACCACAGTCATAACATAGCTATGCTGATTTTCATATATTTATATATCTCTATGTTTAGGTTATTTTATATTCTTTAATACTGATCTAGTTTCACATGACAAACATTTCCCAGGATTTGACAGTTTAGTTCTTATGATTACCAATTTAATAGCTATGTAACAGTTGTATATGGTCCATAAACTAGAATTTGAATGTTGCCTGTATATTTTTCTAGAGTGGAGAATAGAAGAGTGTTCAAAGTGGTTGCATGTATACATAATTTTAAAAATATGTTGAATAAAATCTTTGGTAAAATGTTCTCAGCGGAATAATCAGTATCAATGACTATGCCCTTTATTGCTCTTTCTGAACCAACTTTGCAAAAAGACTTCCAATGTAGCATGGTAATGGTGAAGACGTCCTGCACCAGTTTCACACTGAGCAGCACTGGATGGCCCACGTGTTTGCTTTTTGAGTGGATATAAATGATCACTGTAAATTGCTTTAATTTTCATATTTCCGATGATTGCCTAACTTGCCCTAAGGATACCTCTTCTCTTGTAGCCCTCTCAAGTTTTTGTTATTCTATTGTGTTGTTGTTTTCGTCCACACCGTTCTACCCACTTCTTTCATAGTGAGTGGGTGGGAGTCTTGCATGTTCCTTTCTCAATACTGCCCCAGTCCTATCTAAAATCTCCAATTTAGAATCTCACGTCAACCAACTTTAAAACCAGCTTAACCTTCATTTCCACCATAGTCTACAGACCCTCAATTTATCATTCTAGTTATTTTTCCACAAATAGTTTCTGGATTAGTCACTTTTGTCAACTTCTCCCTTGCTTCATTTCTGGAGGATTGCAGTAAACCCTGAGATCTTTGTTCCAGTACCTGGTTTCATGAGGTCCTTTAACTCTCTGAACACCTGTATCTTCTTCCACATCTCAGAGACTTATTCCATGATCATCATTCATAACTAACAACCATTCTCCTGAAATGTAATTTTTGTCTCTTCCTAATTGTCTCTATGTGTAATTACATCAAGGTCCACTTTTCTGGAAGGACATGCCCTAAATAGGACTCAGTACCCCATTAAGATGGTTATTTGTCCCAAAACATGACCATGCCAATAGTACACTTCTGATCATGACTGCTTACTTTTTAGTGCCCCTCACATGATGTGCTTGGTGAAGGTGATCATCAGTCAGAGTAACTACTGCTAACCACAGGTTCCAAAGGCTGAGGCCAAAACAAGGTGACTGGAGGATTTTTGTAAGTGTATAATGGTCACATCATCACCAAGGTTTCTTCACATGACCTTCTCAGCAAAAGATCTCCAGCCCTCTAGTCCTCACAGTCAGCTTCAGCATGACTGAAGGATCGATTTCATGCATTCATGAAACTTTCCCAGTTTGTTCCACAGTCTCCCCTGCTCCATCTCCTCCCCTCCCCTTACTTCTTCCTTTTCTCTTTCATAGTTACGGGTGCCTATTATGTTTTAAGACCAATAATTTCCAAACTACTTTTTCAAACCTGACTGCTAGGAATACAAATATCTTGGAGTGGAAAACCCAATACTTACATATTGAAGACATAGGTATTTATGATGTTTACATAGCAAAATATTTACAAAAAGTTCATGTAGAAACCAAAAGAGATGCATGTTCTAGTAATTTTTTCTACTACTCCAAATAAGCCATGTATCTATACCCTGCACACTTCCCACTTTGGAAAGAGGTATTCTAGATTACACAGGCCCTGTCTTCGTTATTTTCAAACATCTCGCTAGAGAGACAGAAAACTAAATGAGCACTTACCAAAAATTATGGATAGGAGTTAGGACTTAAGCTGAGGAGCCCCACAGTAGTTTGTACAGATTAGCTTCTCCTGCACACTGGATAACTTACTTAAGAAGACTCTGGCCTGCTTTTGGTTAAATCACTTTTCAAACCACACAATTATACAAGGATAGTTTTCCACATGGACAATCTCCTCTATGTCCTCTCCAATGATATCCAGTGATCAGAGATGTCTGAATGGTTGAACAAAAATCTGCCTAGGGAAGGGCCCTTTCATATGGACCACTGCAGCTATCAAATACATCATAGAATGTACGAGGGTTCCCTGATGTTGTTTGCCTATGATTGATTAATGCCTCTGGTTGGTATTTCATCAATGATATCAGCTGCCTGTCTTGGGATCTCAATTTTCTCTGGTTGGTCCCATAGATATTTTTACCCAAAAGAGTTTGGAAATAGATTGGGAATCATACTCTAATGCTTCTAACATACCAGAGGCTTCCCACAGCCAGGAATGACTGTCATGCTCCAGTTTTACTCCTACATGTTCTCCAAAATACTGTTTTCAGTTGCTCTCCCTAATGTACCCCTGCCCATTCCCCTTCCACAGACTGTCCATTGGTGATCTCACTCCCTTGGCCATCTGTAACCCTAAGCTTTCTCGCAGATTCCTCTTTGACGTTTCCTACACAATTGCTATGCCAGGTCCGTCCAGTACGGAATTTATCATCTTCCCCGCAAAACTTGTGATTGCTACTTCTGGACTTCTAACCTCTATGAGCAGCAAATCCTCTTCCCCAATCATGAACACCCAAAATGCAAGCTTCACTTGATGCTGCCTTCCCTTTCATCTTCATAGAGAGTAACTGGTTCTATAGTGACCCCTTTCCACTACCCTAATGATAATTAGAAAACAGAATGACTCTATCCTTATTTTTACCCTTGACCTATGGCTTCAAAACTTCTTTTTTTTTTTTTCTTTATCTGTCTTCACTTTCTCTCCTTGTAATCCAATATCACCCATTTTTGCTGAAATATCTTTTCTTAAATACATAAGCAATCATAGTATATCTACTCAAAAACTATTAATATCAAAGGGTCCATGTTATATGCAGAAATAAGTTTGAAACCTACAGAAAAACATTTTTAAAGCCTCCAAAAGCTTCATCCCATCCTTCTCTCTACCAAATTCCTTAACAGGTCTGATTTTTCAAGCCAGCTACATGGGTCTACTCAACTATATTATATAGTATATAACTATATAACTATATTCTGAAACTCTTTCTCCAGAACATCAACTTGATCCTGATATCAAGCATTCTGCCTTGCTTTTATAAATTTCATTCCCCAGAAAGGAATCTCCTTCAGCACATTGTTAAAACTGCATTTACCCCCAAACAGGGCTATGCCAATAGTACAGTTCTGATCATGATATCATTCTATAGATACCTCTGTTACAGGTACTTCTGTGACACTCTGACATAAACTAGGGCAATGCACGTTTCCTAATAGGAATATTAAGAATCGTTTCTTGATTTCTTTTCAACAAGAAATAGAACATTTGGGTGGCAGAAACCATGTCTTATCATTGCTTTATAGTAACTACTGTAGTTTTTAGCTTAAAGGAGACATGGAATGCTATTTTTTTTAAACTGCTAAATTGACTCTGGCTCCCATTACCCAAATATATATGCACATATGAGTGGGGTTTTTTCCTTAAAATGTGTGCATATAATATTTGCATAAGAAATGGGGACAGTTTTTAAAATGATCTTGGCTCTTCCACACTTCTTGATCTCAGTATTACAGTGAAGACTGGATTAAGAACAACAAACAACATATGTTATAAGAAGCTTTCCAATTTTCCAGTAAGAACCGGAGTCATGCAAGAGAGACCATATAGATTTCACAAATAAAAATGTAACACAACCTTTAAAAGTATATGGGATTCTCAGACACTGAGAAATATAAGCCACAGTCAAAAGACTTCAGATATGTTTTCAGGAAAAGAAAAAAAAAAGCCTGACTAAATGAAATACCAACTCTGAAATCCTGTGAATTATTTATAGCCAAAGTTTAGATACAGTGGGCCCATCAATAAATTTATTCCTTGTCAACAAATGTTGCTAAAGCTTTAAAGAACAGAGAAATTAAAACATGCTTTGCAAGAGAAAGTTTCCCCCAGTGCTCCTCATTTTTATATAGGAAATCAATTTGCATCCCTGATAATATCATTCAAATCAGACAACCCAAAGTTGTTAGGAGGTAATTTAGTTTTATGCTGAAGCAATTTGATACTTGTTCTGATTTGTGATTTTCATTTTGTTTGTTAATGAAAAAAATTAATGAGCGATGTTACCAGAAATACAACTCATCAAAGCACTGGCATTATTAAAGAGGGTTGCCATATACTGTACACTGCCATCATTGTGCAGCTGAGGCCTCGACCACCATGATTCAGGAACCATCAATCAAACAGCATAGGAGAGAGCTCAGAGTATGGATGCCCTTATACATACCTTTGCATTGATTTGTGTTTTTGTCAAGAATTGCCTTTGTGGATACAATTTTTCCATACCTGAAACAGAGAAAGAAAAAGCCCTGTTATTGTAACCCAAGGAACAGACTTAAAATAGCCTAATGAACTTCGGGGCATAATTGAGAGTGAATATACCACGGAAAACAAGTTCTGAACTCCCATTTCACACCTGGATGATCTCCTTTCTCAAGATCTTCTTTATTACTCTGCAGTGCATTTCCCCTACCTGAGCACTGGGTTGTGTCTTCATAGATAAACCTATTGAACTATTGTTGGTGGCTGAAAGGAAATGCATGTGATTGTGATCAAGGTAAATTGTTGTCTATGGACTCATGGAGAACAGTATAAGCCTCAGGGCCAGGTTGAATGGGGTTCACCTCCCATTCTGACTCATACCTACTGCTGTGACTTTGAAGAGTTTAACCCATCTACCTTAGATTTCAGGTTTTTTTCTTCTGAAAAAATGAGAAACTACATATATGAAATCCAGTTCAATCAACTTCACATCTTCAGAAATCCAGGTGTTAGGTTCCATAGGCAGTTAGTGGAGTAGTTCAAAAAATATACCATGGTGCTAAACGGCCACAGCTGGAATCCCAGTTCAGCCTGGATGTGTTTGATTGGCCACCTCAGGGACTCTTTACATCATTTCATCATCTAGTGACGTAGACAAAACTATTCAAATAATAGTGTGGATTATTATTTATTTGCAATGATACAAATTTATTTGTAAATATATAAGATGAGATAATAGTATCTTCCCTCTAGGGCTGATGTGAGGGCTAAATGGGACAAACTTGAAGAACTGAGGGCAGTGGCTGACAGTAAGCTCACATTTAATCTTAGCTCTTCCGCCCATTATGATCATCCTCTCATCTACTGTAGAATACCAGTATTTGGCATTCTCTGTGGTAGATGAGACATAAAAGAGGATAAAGATTCTATTTCAAACAGCCACTAAATCACTACTATTTAGACTGTCAAAATCTTCTGGAAAGAAATTGGGCAAGGATCTTTTATTTGCTAAAAGATGAGGTTTACAATTTACACCATTATGTTTAGTGAAAGGAGTTTCATTAGCTATGTTCTCATGCAATTGGTCACACAAACACTCATAAGTTTAAAACTTTTTTTGTTTATTTTGTATTACCTCTATGCCTAGTAACTTATATGCTCATTCCCTTCCAAACCCTCTACACCTGACCTTTCTCACTTCACAGAAAACACATACATGCCTCTTTTGCAAACTCTGATTTCATACAAGAGTTTCTCTTTGGGAAAAGTAACCAGTAAAATAATATCATATTTGAACAGTTCCTTCAGTAGACAATGATTCACAGATCGTATCAAGGAACTAGATGTAATACTTACTAGTTTTGGACAATTTAGGCAAAGAAACATTTGCAAAATATAGAGAAATAAAAAAAGAAGAAGATGATGATGATGATGATGGTGAAAAAGGATATTTGCTGAAACTATTTTCCACAAAAGGTTCTGCTAATACAGTATGTGAATGATTTAAAAAAAAAAAAAAAACAGAGAGAAAAAGAATTTAAAATATGTATAACTAACGCATAATGTCAGGCAACGAAAGCCTTAAGATAAAAATCCTTCTTAATTGGTTTCTAAAGCTTCTCCTGAAATTTTTATAGAAGTACCTTCAAAATTAAAATTTAGCTCTAGCTTTTAAATAAAATTGAAAATTACTTTTTTTTATACAGAATGACATCTCACAAGGGGACTCTGGACTGAAGGTATGCATATTACATCACTACCTCAATATCACAAGGATATTTTCTTCTCCATTAAATGTAGGATATGGAAAATGCTGCTATCATTATTTTACAACAACTTTTAAAAAATCAAGTGCATTCTTGTAGAAAGCACTTGTATTTTATATTTTGGCAAGCAATTTAATAAAAAAGAAGAAAAAGAACTTACTTTATTTCCCACAAACTATTACAATATTACCTTAAATGGAAAAATCACACACACACACACAAAAAAAAAAAAAAAAATCACTCACCATAGTAGTAAACTGTTTCCTGACTTCCCTATTTCTCATTGCACTCTAGGTGAGACTTTCCAACACTGTGAAGTAATAAAACAATGGAACCCAACTCTGAAAACTTGACACAACCTCTACCCTCACTGGAGTTATAGGAATTTCAACCGTTGGCTTTGTTACAATGTTCTGCATTAACCATTATTTTGCAGAGCTAGGATATGCTTTGAACAACAAGAGAAGGTACTTAATGGGCCACTGGTTACAGTTCATGTCTGAACTCTCACAAGGGCAAACAGGTACTTTCTGCATGAGTGGGGCTGTATTCTTCATGACCTGCCAAGTCAACAACTGCTATAGGTAAATAAAGTTTAAGCCACTTTTTTAAAAGACACAAGCACAGAAGCCACCAAGCTAATATTAAACTTGTGAAGAGCTATATTAAATTTATTTTCCTAGCGTTTTGTCCAAGTATACAAAGAGACTGGAAAAAAACTACTAGACACACTAAAAGTATATTTTTGCACACTGTAAAGGAAAAAAATAAGATCTTTGAGGTTAAAAAAAGAAAAGAAAGAGGAAATCTTAAACCTATATTTACCTCCTTCACTCTTCCCCTTTCCAGGTTTTAGATCAAGACTTAAGTCTTCATAAAGTTTGTCTCCAACTGAGCCACCCACGAGTGGAAAGCAAAAGTCTGATATTAGAGGGAAAAAAATGTGACCAAATGACTGAAGGATGCCTGGAAATGGACACCTAAGTAGTGGTCCCAGGTGCCTCCTGGATCCAAAAGCTTTCAGACAAATCCAATTCATGTCTCTGTCTTTTCGTTTCCTACAGCAAGAAGAGATAGAATACTATCCATGGCCTACCTCCCTGGAGGTTTGAACTTCTTGGGGGAAAGAAATAAATGAAGTGACCACATTTGATACAGTAATTCTTTCCATGTGGGCCTTCTCCCGGCAATGTGAG